TAAAAAACCACTATTCCTACAAACACTTTGGCTTTTTTCTCTGTCATTAACTTTTGAATTTAAAATCTACTCAAATTAACTAAAAATAACATTTAAGCTTTATTGAACGCTCTGACCTTCAAAGGTGGTGAATTGTGAGATGGAACGCTCTGGCCTTGAAAGGTGGTGAATTGTGAGATCCCACATCTGTGATTGGGGGAGGAGAACTAAAGGGTGTAGAAACTTCTCCCCAACAGCCATCCCACATCAATTGGGGAGGAGAAGAGATGACAACAGCCATCCCACATCAATTGGGGAGGAGAAGAGATGAAACATTCTTTAAAAGAGCGTGGAACCTTTCCCTAGCAGACATCCCATATCGGTTGGAGAGGAGAACTAAATATTTTTTTTATAACAGTGTGTAAACCTCTCCCTATCAAAAGTATTTAAAAATCTTTAGTGGAAAGCCGAATAAGACAATATCGGATAGCAGTGGGCATAAGCTATTACACTTTCGGCAACGTGCAAAAAAACACACCCTTTTTTGGTACTTAGGTTGGGCAAACCCTAAGTTAAGTGTGTTATGAACCACTCAGTTACTATACTTTTTTGTACTCGTTTTTCATCTTCCATTTGTTTTGGTTCTGTTTTAATGACGTTTTGAGTATACAATTCGATGCCTGGTGTTGGGACACAACTCATGGTTATGTAAAAAGGCTACCCATCACCTCATTTTCCCTCCCTTTTTATCTGTCTTCCACCAGTTTTATTGGCTTCTTTTTCAGACTTGTTTCTTCTGTCTTTTGAAAATTTCAACCATCATATATCATCAAATAACTTTATAGCCTTTGAATAAGTTGTTCAAGTTTCATGAACAAACCCACGACAAATTTCAATATTGGTGTTCAAATATTTGTTCATATACCTATCAAGTTCAGTACTGATGTCGTTATCCATATTTTTTTGTTTTCATAGAAAAAATTTCAAGAAGTTATCCTACATAATTGATCTAAATCAAACGTGTATAATTTTGAAGTTACACCATGTTTGTATATATAGTAATTATGAATTATTTAGAACTTATCTTAATGATGCCGTAGCTTTGGTGTCACATGCCCACCCCACCTACATTCAGCAAGGTTTACCTCTGAACCACATCATACTATGAAAGGTTCCAATTTAATACTATCGGTAATGTTCCATGTCCAAGATTTGAAGCCATCAGTGAATTTGGATTCTAAATTTTGAGCCTAAACCCTAAATAATTAGATTTTTTTTTTAATTATTTCTTATTTTCTGTTTTTAAAAAAATTGAAAAATAGTAACGTTTGATAGCTATATTATTTTAAAAAGTTTGAGAAAAAAGATAATTTAATTTTTTTTTAAGGGTAAAATGGGATTTAGTAGAGAGAGCATTTGGGTTTTGTGAGGAAGGGAGGTGATGATAAAAGAAGATGAAATTAGGGCTTGAGAAGTGTTGATAAGAATAGAAGAATGGGCCTTAATGGGTGGCTTGAGAAGGAGAATATAACGGCCCAAACTCACCGCTAGCAGATATTGTCTTTTTATTTTTCCTTTCGAGCTTTCCCTCAAGGTGTTTAAAACATGTCTGCTCGAGGGAGGTTTCCACACTCTTATAAAGAATGTTTCGTTCTCATTTCCAATTGATGTGAGATCTCACGGAGAAAAGTTAAGGAAAATTGTTTTAAAAAAAGAAAGTTTATGAGATCCCGTTGGTTGTGAGAGGGAAACAAATCATTCCTTACAGAAGTGTGGAAAACTCTTCCTAATAGATACATACTAAAACCTTGAGACTAACAGTGTTACATAACAAGCTAAAGCGAACACTATTTCTAGCGGTGGGTTGCAAATGCTTCGTTTCCTTCTCCATCCAATATGAGATCTCACAATTCACCCCTCTTGAGAATGACTGCGAAGAACAAGGCTCTACAGACCTACTATTCCAACCCAGTGGAGGCGACGTCTCACTACTACCGGTACGAATTGCGTTGATTCCACCCCTACACTACCAAATAAGGCAAGGTCTCATGGTGGCAAAGAAAAAGAGGAAGCGCTCTTGTTGCGCGGACCCCATAATAAAGAAAGATGGAACACAAGAAGCTCAGTAGCAAGCCGTCTCATAGTCCTTGTCTATCGTTTCAAGCTTTCAAAACAAGCAGAAAAACAATATACCGGGCATAGCATCCTCGCTAGAACACCATTCAGTGTTAGACACTGATACCACGTGAAATAGCTCAAGCCCACCACTAACAAATGTTGTCCGTTTTGTTCGTTAAGTATCACCTTCGATCTCACTGTTTTACGCGTCTGTTAGTGAGAAATTTCTCTTTAACCGATGTGGTATCTCACATAAATATCAATCTTAATAGTTATTACGACGAAAACAACTGCAATTATGCAACACTCACTTCCCATCAACAAGTGAATTAAATCAATTCCTTCTTTGATGACGTTAATGAGTTTTTATATATTTTTTATAATACATAAACTAAATTCTCCTAAAAAAAATAATAAAAAAAATAAAAATAAATTGTGCGCAACCAAAGAAATTTAACTTTCAAAACAAAAATAAATATTAAAAAAAATAATTATAAATTAGATTTTTATAGTTTGAAAATTTCAATTTTATTTCTTTTAACGGTAGAAAATAATAAAATTACAAAAATTAAATTGGAAGAGAGTCTTCAACACGTGAGGGGAGCGTGACTCCGAAAACGGAGTACAGTTAATCCGTTTTGGTTCTTTCCGTTCAACGCCAATCACAAACCCTAATCCAAAAATCCCAAAATTCCTTTGGGAGAAATGTCCCAAACCCATCACCAAAATCCCCAATCCTTTCTGAATTACTGGGGAAACATCTCCGAGGAAGATTATTACGCTTCTCAACGAATCAAATCCTCCAAATCCTTCTACACTTCCCCTCGCGGCCTCAAGCTCTTCACTCGTTCATGGCTTCCTCTGCCTCCCGCCCTTCCCCGAGCCCTCATCTTCATGGTCCATGGCTACGGCAACAACATCAGCTGGACCTTCCAAGCCACTGCCATCTTCCTCGCCCAGATGGGTTTCGCCTGCTTCGCTCTCGACCTCGAGGGCCATGGCGGATCCGAAGGTCTCAAAGCCTTCGTCCCTAATGTCGACTCTGTCGTCCACGACTGTCTCTCCTTCTTCCGATTCGTCAAATTGAACCCCCAATTTCAGGGTCTGCCCGCCTTCCTCTTCGGCGAGTCAATGGGCGGTGCGATTTGCTTATTGATTCATTTCGCGGACCCCAAAGGGTTCGATGGCGCGATTCTCGTCGCACCCATGTGCAAAATCTCTGATAAAGTGAAACCCATTTGGCCGATTCCTCAATTTCTTACGGCGGTTGCGAGGTTTTTGCCGAGTTTGGCGATTGTGCCGACGGCGGATCTGTTGGAGAAGTCGGTGAAGGTGGAGGAGAAGAAGATTGTGGCGGAGATGAATCCGATGAGGTATAGGGGGAAACCCAGATTGGGAACTGTGGTGGAGCTTTTGAGAGTTACAGAGGATTTGAGCGGGAGGCTGGGGGATGTGAGGCTGCCGTTCATCGTCGTCCATGGCGATGCGGATGTTGTTACGGATCCGAATGTGAGCAAGTCTCTGTATGAGGAAGCGCAGAGCGAGGACAAGACGATGAAGATTTATGAGGGAATGATGCATTCTATGCTCTTTGGGGAGACGGATGAGAACGTGGAGATTGTTCGAAATGATATTGTTTCTTGGTTGAATGCGAGATGTAGGAGTAGGATAAGTGTAGATGATGATCATCATCATCATCAGAAGAATTAGATGAATCTATTCAAATTGTTTCGATGATTTTAAGGAAACTTCTTGTTCTGGGAATTTGATTGTTACATCCTTTGTAGAAAGGACGAAATGGTTGTTAATTTGATTGGGTTCGGGTAAATTAATAAAAATATTCATAAATTTTATAATTTGCCACAAGATGTTCTTGAATTTTTAGAAATTTTATGAAGAGAGGTTGGAATAAGAACTAGAATGAAAATCAATCTATTACGAGGGTGGAGAAGAGTGGACGTAGGGACTCGAGTCGGCTTCTTGAGTTGCGGGCAACGGAGAAGAGTGGACATAGAGACTCGAGTCAGGGTGGAACGTGACTAAGAGAACCATTTCATTTACGGCGAGCCCGTGTGATACGAAATTTCAACCTTTGAATAGTCGTGGCGAGCCCATGTAGGAGTTATAAATATTACTTTTGAAAGTTGAGACGGGTACTAACAATTTTAACAGGCGAGCCCGTATAGGAGTTATAAATATTACTTTTAAAAGTTCAGACGGGTACTAACAATTTTAACAGGCGAGCCCGTATAGGAGTTATAAATATTACTTTTAAAAGTTCAGACGGGTACTAACAATTTTGTCTATATACCAACTAACGTTATTTTTTTTTTTTTTAAAAAAAATGGAAGGGTATTAATAAATTTTTTTTAAATTTAATATCTTTAAAATACTTTTGTTTTTTTTAATTAAATATATTATTAAAAATTTTGAAATTCAATATTTTTAATAACGTAAAAAGCATTTTTTTAATATTAATTTAGTATTTTTTTTTAATATTTATACCATGATTTATATCTTAGTTATAGACTATTAAAATATGTTTTGAATCAATTTATTTTTTTATGAGTTTGTATAATATATTTCATGATTTTTTTTTCTCTAAAATATATAACTTTTTTTTTTTTTGTTAAATTACAATTTAATTCCTAATTTTTTATATTTTTATCTATTTAGTGCGTGACTTTTAATGAATAATGAATTATTATTATATTTTTCTAACAATTTCAGAAAATAAAAGAATAATAATACAATAAGATAAGAGTAATTAGATATTTTAATTATTTGTTGGAATATTTATAAAATTAAAATGGAAAATAAAAAGTGGATATATTATTATTTATATAAAGGATTTAATTATTCACAAGCAACCAAAGTCGATTGGGCCTGGTTGAGTGAAGCGGACACGAAAGGAACCGAATAAGACCCGTGAAGCCCAGACCCGGATCCATTAACTAGGAGAATTTCAACTCCCCGACTGCCAGCGTTTGAGGATCGCCGGAACGCCATTTGCAATCCACTGGGAGCAGCGAAGATTCTTGATTGATACCTTTTGAGAGTAATTTATCTTTCAGAGGTACAATTTTCTTCCTGATTTTTCTCCGAAATGAGTTTGTTGGATTTATTGCAAGTTTTCGACCAGTCTTTTTTGTTCGTCTCTCTAAATTTAGTGGAATTAGGGCCTAATTCCTTAATCAGATTTGTTCTCTGTCGTTCCATTTTTGTTCTTGGGAGCTTGAGAGTAGTATTTGGAGTAAGCTAGTGTTTGTAATAGCGTCGGATTATGATATCAGTAATCGGATTTTCTTTTCTTTTTTTAATCTCAGATTTCTTCTAGGTGAGTTTGCGGTTTTGATTGTGTATAAATCGATGGATTTGAAGGCAGCGCACTGATGTCATTGTTCTGGATTGTGATTCGTCAATTTGCAGAAAACGAAGCGATGGTATATGACTTCATACGCACATTCTTGATTGCATAATCAAACAACAGCCTTTTGTTTTTTATTCTAGTTTAGTGTTCTTTTAAGGAAGTGAATTTAGAGTTCACCACTGAAAGGGCTACAGATCTTTCAATCAAGATTCTTTCTTCAGGATAGGTTTATAGTTTGTTATAGTTCTTTTCCCCCCATAATATGATTCGGCCTTTACTTTACTCTCTCAGGCCACGTCAAAGAAAGTTATTACAAGGGAAGAGTGGGAGAAGAAGCTTAACGACGTGAAGATTAGGAAAGAAGACATGAATAAATTGGTAATGAATTTCCTTGTCACTGAAGGTTATGTTGATGCAGCTGAGAAATTCCGGATGGAGTCTGGGGCTGAGCGTATCCATTAGTTAATTCAGTAACTAAGGCCCTCTTTTCATTTTTGTTTATGCGGAATGTTGATTTATGTGGTGTTCTTGAGATTTGCCTTTCTATTTGCTTCTCCTTATGGATATATAGCAGAAATCGATCTTGCAACCATAACAGATAGAATGGCCGTCAAGAAGGCTGTACAATGCGGTAATGTTGAGGATGCAATTGAGAAAGTGAATGATTTGAATCCCGAGGTTTGATTCCTACACTAAATACTTTGTTTGGTGGTTAGAATAGATGTTCATCAAGATTTTTAGTAGTACTCTGCAGCCTTTTGTTATGTTCTCTTTGTGCACATACCCGGAACATGAAAATATTTAACTGCTGTTGGCTTCCTGTGATGAATATTCTTAATTTCACTTGGAAATTTGAGTGTTTTATGACATGTTATATGCTATAGACCAGCTAGCAATCAAAGTTCTTTACGTACTTACCGCCTTCCCTGTCTTTGTAATTTTCATGTTCATTGAACCAAATCTTGTGTGTACTTGTGATATTAGATGCTAGTGGTCTCTTTAGCATCTACTCATGGTATATAGCTTGATGAACTGATGACACAGGTTTTAATGATCGATTAAGAAATTATCAATAAGATTTTCTTCTTTTTCCTTCCTTTCTGAGGATGTGATTTCACTCCATTTGTGGTTTGAGCCTAAGTGATCTTTTGAGTCGTAGATATGTATGGAATGAGAAGTTGGATTCCCAATCATCTTATCGAACAATAATAACTTTTTTAAAGAAAGGAAAATAGTAGTACACACGCACGGAACGAATAAAGATCATTCGTTGCTATCATGGCAGCTATCTGATTAAGTTTGATATGGTAACTGGAAAATAGTTGGATATTGTTGGTTTGATGTTCCCTCTTCAGTTCTTGATGTTATGTTATCTAAACACACATCTAAAGTAAATTCTCTTGCAGATATTGGATACAAATCCCCAATTGTTTTTTCATCTCCAACAGCAAAGATTGATCGAACTAATTCGTAATGGAAAAGTAGAAGAAGCTCTTGAGTTTGCTCAGGAGGAGCTTGCACCAAGGGGAGAAGAAAATGTAATTTATGTGGCTTTCGCTTTCCACCTTTCTATCATCATATTGTAGCTTATGATAGATCAATAAAGTATATAAATGCTTATGTACTCGTTGACATTTGAAATGTCTTATGTACACTTCAACTATGGATTTCCCTTCACCTTTACCTGCTCTCCAAAGTAACCCTTTTACTTCTTTCAGCAAAGCTTCTTGGAAGAGTTGGAGAGAACAGTTGCTTTACTTGCTTTTGAAGATGTTTCCAACTGTCCGGTGCGAGACCTTCTGGACATCTCTCAGCGCCTGAAGACAGCAAGTGAAGTTAATGCAGCCATCTTAACAAGTCAGAGTCATGAAAAAGGTTAAAATTCTTGCCACCATTTGCATTTGAAGTGCCTAACATTAAAATAGTATTCTCTTTCCTACTTTAGAAATGCTGCTAGATCTCTGCCATGTCCAATAATAACACCATGGCAATGAGAATTGAACCTTTGGTTAATATCAGTACTTGAACAAAATCATTGATTTTGATCTCAACTCTAACGGAGACATGATAATATTTTGAGTAAGCAGGCGCATCAATGGCAGACCAAAAGAAGTCAAGAACAGTCTAGTTTTGACCTGCAACCTGATTTAGTGTACTTATGGCTAACAAATTACGATTCCTTGTCGTTCTACAGATCCAAAGCTGCCAAGCTTGTTGAAGATGTTAATGTGGGCACAGGACCAACTCGATGAGAAAGCAGCGTATCCTCGCATAAATGATTTATCCACGGCTATGCTTGAAGATCCTCCTATTTGAGTACGTCTTCCAAAAGAACAGAGATTTCTCAGCGTGTTTGATCGGAAGAAAAATAAAATCACGTAGGTTGATCATTTGTAGTTTCCTTCTTGTCTTTCATCATCTTCGTTTTAGAATTTCCTTAGTTACATTACTGACCTCAAATGCTAAGATGGTTGTGTACAAAAGATTATCAAACCTTTATTCTTCAAGTGTCAAATTGTGTGCAACATGTTTGTCCCGCTCACCTTCCTCACCTTACTTAGAATCTTACAATATTACAACCAAAATCCTTTCCATTTAGGCAGTGAAATGAAAAGAATGATGAGAAGGAAACAAGCTATGTACATGGCGAAATTGTAAGGATTGCCACAATTCTGAAGTGTCCATATTTGGATGCATCATCAAGAATATCCTCGCTGATTTTGGTGTGCCCATCATCAAAATTAAGAGCATAGCTACTAGGATCGTACTGAAACCTTAGTGGCCGCTTGCTTCCATTCTTGATGGCCTTCTTTAAAGCCGCCCTCACCCTCCAGAACAAACTCATACATTGTCTTTTACCGTAGGCATTCATCCTCGCCAGCCCTCTACTGCCCTTCAGTTTCATCCCGAGCGCGCAGGACCCGTTCGATGAAATTCCCCAGAGAAATGGCTGCAGATTTCTTGAGAAATTAAAGGGTGTCGTAAATGAGGAGAGACACTCCCTTATACGCTGCTTGGATCGGAGGAGAAGAGAAGATGCATATATTATAAGTAAAAGCGTTGGAGTTTTGAAGAGAGTGGGAGGAGTAGAGCGCAAGCTTGTTGGAACGAAGGCTAAAATTCTATCATTAAGAGGAGGGGGATTGGTGGGGAAAAGAGGACATGGTTGGCGCAGAGGTGCAGTGGGCAGAGAGCCTCTCCAATGTCGTATCACTATCAGAAACTGTTGTTGGCTTGGCTGCTGGTGCTGCCGCTTCTGGTAGAAGCCACTGCTTTGAAACGGTAATTTCCTAACCCATTATATTAGCAAACCATATGATGTATGATACAGACAAATTAGGACTATATGCAACCAAATGAAATATTGCTACCATGTGGTCATTCATTAGTATGTAACGGCCCAAGTTTACCACTAGAAGATATTGTTCTCTTTGTACTTTTTCTTTCGAGCTTTTTCTCAAAGTTTTTAAAATTTGTCTGCTAGGGAGAATGTTTTGTTTCCCTCTCCAACCGACGTGGGATCTCATAATCCACTTCCTTTCGGGCCTAGCATCCTCACAGACACATGTTCCTTTCTCCAATCGATGTGGCACCCCCCACCAATTCAACCCCCCTTCGGGGCTCAACCTCCTCACTAGCACATCGTTCAATGTCTAACTTTAGCAGATATTGTCGTTTTTAGGCTATCTCTTTTGGGTTTCGTCACAGTTTTTAAAATGTGTCTGTTAGGGAGAAATTATCACACATTTATAAAAAATGTTTTGTTCTCCTCTTCAACAAATGTGAGATCTCACAGTTGAATAACAAACGTGAGATCTCACAGTTGAATAACAAACGTGAGATCTCACAGTTGAATAGGACGAGACGAGGGAAGAGTTGATATAAGATATTAATAGCGGGTGGCAATATTCTGAAGTCGATATGATTTTGTGTTGTTCTAAAGAGGGAGACTGGCAGTGGGAGTGGGAGTGGTAGTTCTGATTGAATAAGGCTGAGGGGTTGGATTTTACAGTATCTACAAACAAGGGGTAGCAGGCATAAATGAGGGAGGGTGCCTCTTCATTCATCAATCACTATCAAAAAGAATTCTTTGTCTTTGCTTTTCTTCTTTCAATCCTTACTATTTTGTCTATAACTAAAGCCATTATCAACCATGGTAATTCAATTTCATAGCTTTGTGGGGGCTTTTCTGTCATGCCCCTTTCACCTTCTTTCTTCTCTTCTCTTCTTCACCTTTCTTACCCATCCCTTTGCTTTTTCCTTTTTTTGTACTCCCAATTTCCTTCGTCAATACTAAATGTTTTACTCAAAGATCTACGTTGATTCGATTATAAGTACTAAAAATAATGTGTGAGATCTCACATCTGATGGAGAGGAGAACGAAGCATTCTTTGTAAGAGTGGAAATCTTTACCTAATAGACGCGTTTTAAAAACCATGAAGAAGAGCCTGAAAGGGAAAATTTAAAAAGGACAATATCTACTAGCGGTGGGTTTGGGCCGTTACGAATGGTATCAAAGCCAAATATCAGGTAAAGTGCCAGCGAGAAGGCTAAGCTCCGAAGGGGGTAGACACAAGGCGGTGTGCTAGCAAGGACACTGAGCGAATAAGCATTGAAAACAATGTTCATTGGTACTGAATTGAAGTTAGGTTTATGTCCAAAATGAATAATATATACAGAATCCAGCTTTGGGGAACTTGTACCTAATCTATCCGAGAGTCCTTTCCTTCTGTCGGTGAGATAGTTCCAGGTGTTAGTCTTTTTCTTCCCTAGTACAGAGTTTTTGGAGGGATAGAGTTTATATTTATGTTAGACTATAGGCATTGACTAAATAAGCTTAAGCTATACTAAAAACCAAATAAGGACTTAGAATTGTTATTATCTAATTTAGACGTTCCGTAGTGTTTCGTTTAAGAAGAGTATTGTTGAGAATGTGACCAAAGTCTCCCCGTTAATTTAGTAATAATACGATTATGAAACTGTAACTAAAGGATAACAACTCTATTGATATCAGTTTCTTTTTAAGTGAAATCGAAAGGAAATCTATGAAAGTTGAAAGCCTATTTATGTCTTTGGACCAATTGGACCATTGGTAGGTTGCTTAGTAGAAGAAACTAAAACTCTATACCATACTATAATGAACTATGACCAATGAACTACGTCAACTTGTTCTCTAATTAAATTTTCGACCAATTTGAAATTTTGAATTGAATGCATTGATAACTTGAGCAATTCGAATAGAGTTCACAACCTAATTCGAATATGGTTGTTTTTCTTTTTTAATTATTTTTTTTAAAAAATCCTACTTATCCACCGTACATATGTCATTAATAACTAAAATTTCATAAAGTTGAAATATCAAATATTTATAAGTCACTATGCATCACTAACATCGATTACTAATGTTCTTAAGTTAGTTTGGGTTTTAACCCTATTTTTGGATTGGTCGAGTTAGTCGGGTTAACCTAACAAAAAAAATCACAAACGAAACCAAATTTTAGATGTTCAAAAAATTCAACCGTATCCAAATCGAAAAGAACCTAACCAATACTTCGCTTTAGTCCAGTTATCAAATCATATGAACATCCTAAGGTCGATCATAAAACTACTGCAATTAATTATTTAAAGAAAGATATAAAGATTTGATTTTTTTGAACTTTAGAAAAATAAGATTTATTAACAACTTTATTGGTTGCTAATACCACACTTTTGAAATTGTTTCCATTGTATCATATAATTTAGTTCATAAATGATAAATCAATTAAAGTTCATAAAAGCCAAAACAAATTATTTGAAATAAATAAAATTATAGTTAATAACACACTTTATTGGCTGCTGTTTGTCCCCCTCAAAACTCACACCTTTCCTTTAAATATATTGTCATTTTCATCCGATACCACGTCCCAATGAGAGCGATGCTGAGGATAGAATGACTAAGCTCCTTTTTCGATGACTCAATCATAAGAACTCCATGGTTAAACGAGATTTACTTGGAGCAATTCTATAACGACCCAGATCCACCGCTAGTAGATATTGTCCTCTTTAGGTTTTCCCTTTCGGACTTCCCCTCAAGGGTTTAAAATACGTCTGTTAGGGAAAGGTTTCCACACTCTTATAAAAGGGTGTTTTGTTCTCCTCTCCAACCAATGTGGGATATCACAATGCAATCTCCTTCGGGACCAGCGTCCTCGCTGTCATTCCTTCCTTTCTCCCATTCAATTTTGAACCTTTTGATGACTCATTTTTTTTTGGATTTTATTGGGTATTCTTTTTAGGTACTTTTTCATAGTTTCTTTCTTTTTTGTTCCCTCAAATATTTGCCTTTTCTTCACACTAAAATTAAAAAAATAAAAAATCACTTTTAAAATTTTTTGCCCTTTTTCTTTATTAAATTATATCCATAGCCAAAAAGCATGATTTATGCAATGAAATCCATTATATGTAACTAATGGGCATGGCTTATAATAATGTGAAGTTCATAAAGTTGAATTATTGAGCCAAACAAAGGTCCCTCCCAATCTTCCACCACTCCTTTTGTACTATTCTTTTGAAAATTAAATTTTAATATATTTTTAGTTCTTTCCTACCCGGGAAGACTATTTCAATTCCGGTTTTTGTGTCGGGAAGTATGCCGATCGATTCAGCCTTAGAAGATTCGTCAAAGCAAGGGTTAACATTGTTGGATGAAAGTTCGAGATCGACTAATTTAGGGAATGATCATGGGTTTATAATCAAGAAATACTCTCTCCATTTGTATGAGGTCTTTTGGGGAAGCCCAAATCAAAGCCATGAGATCTTATGCTCAAAGTGGACAATATAGACAATATCATACCATTGTGGAGAGTCGTGTTCATCTAACATGGTATCAGAGTTATGTCCTAAATTACCCATGTCAATAGAATCCCCAAATGTCGAACAAATGACTCCAAAAGAAAATGCTCTAAATTACCCATGTCAATAGAATCCCAAAACGTCGAACAAAGGACTCCAAAAGAACAATGAGTTGGGTCTCGATTAAGGGGAGGTGTTGCGTTCATATAAATAAACATATATATATATATATAGATATATATATATATATAAAAGGACAATATCTAAGGTGGGCCAGAGAAAAGGGATTGAATGGGGCCCATGGGAAGGCTTTTCGTACACTTAAGCCCATAGGGATAGGGCTGGTGTTGGTAGGGAGCCCAAATCCGTAACAGCTAGGCCTGCTATGGGCCCATCCCATCAAAAGCAGAGGAAAAAACAATGCCGCCCTGTCTCTCACTCTCCCTGCACCCAAACAAAAGATTAATGCATAAAGTATACCCAACCCAACCATAACCATAACCAAACCCTACCTCTATTCACGGTCCCTATCACATCTCGACTACTAACTTTGAATGTACGATACAAATTTAATTTCAAATCAATAAGTCGAAAACATATTAAAACAATGGCCCATATTTGAGTTGTTTTAGCTTGACACGATAGGTGAATGAAACGACAATAAGATAAAAAGAGGGTGTTCGG